TTTTTTTTTAATTAAAAAATAATGAATTCCAGTAACTATAGATAGTGTTTTGTTGATTTCTGCCATTCACATTTTCATTACAAGGGGAAAAAATCAGGCATGCTTTACTTTCATGACGAATAATTTTTAATAAAATTATATCCATCAGTTTTTTCATTTTTAAAAAACCCACTAAACTTGGTGGCTGGCTTGATTTATCATAATTGAGTCTTGGTATTATTGGTATTGGTATATCATTTAAGTAACACTTCTTTGATTTTTAGGAAAGATTAGCAGAAGAAATTGAAAAGCTGAGATCTGAACTTGACCAATTGAAAATCAGAACTGGCTCTTTAATTGAACCCACAATATCAAGGTAACATTAAATTAAAAGCTTATCTGCAGTTGACTAAAAACCAATATGAATCTCCATATAGTTAATACCTCCTCAAATAAAGTAGACAAATACATGTATCTCCTGTTGCCTAGCCATTGCCTTATTTTGACTCCTCACCAATTTAGTTTCTACATTCCAAAATAATTATATAATTTAGAAATACTTTCTGCAGATTTGCAATAAAAGTTGAAATCACTATCTTTCATATTCTGCATTTATTATATAGATATAAGATGTAAAAGGAATATTAAATGAAGAAATGAACTGTATGGTAGATTACATCTCATTCCAGGAAGAAGTATCAGCTCTTTTCTCTACATGCAGAAATGTGTTCAATGCTTAATGTTATTGAAGAAATATCATTGATTATGGTCATTCATATTCAAAGAGCATATAACTATTTTGGTAAAGTAATTGCAAATAAAGAGGAAAAGCAAAATTATATTTGCTAAAGAATTCAAGTTAATTTAGCTTTACTTATCTACTTTGACTCAATACCTAATCTTTAAAAAAGAAGCAATGAGACAATTGTATCTCTCTAGATAGACTTCAATAATTCATATATAAGTTTCTTTTTTGCTTAGAGACTTTTATTCAAATTCTATAAGAAACCCTAGAATGGCTCACTCATTTAATCATTTATTTATTAAGCAATACAGTGACATAAGCTATTTGAAACTTTGACACCACAGATTTCTAGATGTTCATGTTTCATAGTCATACGTTTATTATATTAAGAATATTAGTTTCATGAGGGCTGAAGCTAATATTCTTAATATTCTCTCTCTAATTACTACAATCTCAGCACCTTAAAAATACTGCCATACAGTGTGCTTTCAATCGATATTGTTGAATGAATTAATATCTGGTAAATGATTTTTCAGATGTTCAGATGACTAATCCAAATAAAAAAAATAATTTTAAAGGAGATTATATTTGTCAGTATAGGTACTAATGAAACATTCAGTATTTTCAGTATTTCTCAAACTCATTTCTGTAGACATAAATACACCTAAATACATCCAATTTTTTTAAATGGGTAGGTCTTTAATTTAGAAAATCATGCTTATTTTAAAGAAAGTATTCCGACTCTGAATCAAAATTAATTCAGTTCCATGTGTTCATATGGTGATGATTATTATAATGATGGAGAAGAAAAAAACAAAAGCTGATAAATAGCAAAGGTGTAAATACAGAGAATGAACATTATTAAATTAACAAATTAAATGTATTTTAATAGGATCCAATGGGCATTTCATTGTCTTTTTTACTTTCAATCTTAGGAATGCAGAGTTTTGGAGGTGTTGTCTAAAAGTTCACTGCCGCAGTGAATCATCATGGGCCACCTAACAATGTGACATTTATTCACAATTACAGAACAACACAGTACAACTTTCCTCTATGCTGCAGACTGTAGTAGAAAAAACACTACAGCAAGCATTCTTAGCTTCAGATATACAATTACTAGCTGTTTGATTTTGAAAAACCCATTTCCTTACAAAGGTTCTAATTTTGTATATATTTTGCATGAGTTATATATAAAATACTGTTTTTCTGACAATCTCACAAGCTTCATTGCAGATAAAATGAGAAGTAATCAAAGCGGTTTGTGAACAATAAATCACACCAAAATTATAAAGTATTATAGGAATTATTAAGCTAAGCTGATAGAATTTATAGTAAGTTACAGTATAATCAAATATTTATTAAATAGCAATTATTTGTTGGACAGCTTTTGAGTGCACGTAATTAAGAAAGAAACAATGAAGAAAACAGATGGTGCATGATAACTTCATCAATTTGTGTTTGATCTTCCAGTTGAGGAGGTAGGAAGAGATGAGCTAAAGTTAGTGATTATCTATCTACACTAATAAAAGACAAACATGCAAATTGACCATACATTCGCTACACCTTAAGCCACGCCCACCAGCCAATCAGAGCGACTATATGCAAATTAACTCAACAAGATGGGGGCCAGCAGCCATGGAGCTGGAGAAAGCAGGAGGCTTGGTTGCTCCAGTGATGGAGGAAGCCAAGCTTTCCGCCAGCCCTGGCAGGCTCTGAGCGCTACTCAAGGCTACAAAGTTTCAATAATAGAAAGTAAATAAATCCCAGAATAAAAAAAAAAGAAGAGGCTGGAAGCTTACATCACTGGGGGGCTTGGCCAGCCTGAAAACTGCCCTCAGCCCCTCACTCAGACTTGCCAGGCACCTCAGTGGGGACCCCCACCCTAAAGGGGGTGTGGCTAGCTTGAAAACCATCAGCCCCCCCTCACCCAGGCTGGCCAAACCTCCATGGGGTGAGGTTCCTAGACACTCAATGCAGGAGCTGCCCCCTGGTGGTCAGTGTGCTCCCACAGCCAACCTCCTACAGCCTTCCCCCAACCCTGGCTGGCCAGCCTCCTAAGGCCCCTCCTCCCTGCCTGGCCTGGCCCCCAATAGGCCTCAATTGCTGGCCAGGCCCACCTGTATACCAATTCGTTAACAGGGCCTCTAGTCAGTAACTAATATCCTCTACTAGTATCTCATCTGAGAAGAAAGTAAAATAAGTAGCAGAGTGTCTGGAGACAACCTAATTTGGCTGAATTCTGAAGAAAGGGTAAGATGTGGATAATTAGGACAATAGAGGACATTCTAGAAGCAGATGGATGGATTACTGGTTTATTCTAAGAAAATTCATATTTGATTTATCTATGGACATTCTTTTGTGAGATAATGTGCAAGAGTCACAGGAGATTCCTGAGTGAAAAAAACACGAGGGTTCCTTGTCTACATGAATTGGTGATTATAGATGCACTTTTAACTTAAACCTCCTAGTATGTCTCAAAATAATGTACAGCACATGCTTGAAATTTTAAATATATAGAAATATTACCTTTGTTAGAGAACTAGCTCACAGAATGAATAAAAGGAAAGAGGTGAGCAGTAAGCTTCTTTTTTAAAAAAATATTTTATTGATTTTTTACAGAGAGGAAGGGAGAGAGAAAGAGAGAGAGTTAGAAACATCAATCAGCTGCCTCCTGCACATCTCCTACTGGGGATGTGCCCACAACCCAGGTACATGCCCTTGACCGGAATCGAACCTGGGACCCTTCAGTCCGCAGGCCGATGCTCTATCCACTGAGCCAAACTGGTTTCGGCAGCAGTAAGCTTCTTAGATCAAATGTAAGCAATGGACTCTTCTATGATGGCTGTTGTCTCAGGCCTCAGGTTGTTTCAAGGTCAATTAAACATTTTTTACTTACCAGACACTGTGGTATTACAGATACAGTGATGATGGTGGTGAAGAGGACACATTCCAGATGGAAAATAGAGGAATAATGGTCTGAGGACCATTTTAATGGAAGGAATAGGAGGAGTTAAAATAGCATATGACAATGGGACTTTTACACTGAGACTTTAAGAATGCTAACCATGTAAATGTGTGACGAGACTGTCTGCAAAGGCTCAGAAACAAAAGAAAGTGTGAGTTGTTGAGGGAATTGAAAGTCAGTACAGCTCGACAGAAATACAGGCAGTAGTTAGAAGTGAAAGTGGAAATTAATTGTAGAGGGCCTTTTAAAGACACTGAAGATCTTTAAGCTTCAGTTGTCAGTGGGACCAGGTCTGTGTTTTGTTACATGTTTTTATAAATGACCTAGAGTTGAGAGATAAAACAACAAAAAATACTCCTAGGATGATATCATAATTTTAGAAAATCCACTCCAATGCCCAAAGAGGCATTATCCTAAGTACCACAGGCAAAAGGCACATAGAATGTTCTGTACTGTTTTTGAATGTATTATAATCAAAATTTCCTTCATTATCTTACCAGACATTTATTAGGTATTTAATAAATCCTTGAGCATATAATGGTGAAGAAAATGTATTTGTCTGTCAAATACATAAATACTAAGAATCATACCATTTACAACCATGGCCTTGTTGGTTAGTTTTTATATATGATTAACACACAATAA